GCAGGAAAAAAAATATCTTACAGAACAATTTTCCTTTCATTATCAGGACTTCACAGAGGCTTTGCAAAAGAGGTATATTCTGTCAGAGCTGGGCCCATGAATGTTTTGTTATTACCCAAATCCTCAGCTTTATTGCTACGGAATATAATGCCCTGTTACTCATTTGCCTTCTACAATGCGCTTCCAGCCACAAGTCATGGGTGCTGTTAAACTGTAGCGAGTATGAATCACTTCACAGCTAGAATTGATGTGTTGATGTTATTTATCTGCTCAGCTGTCTCCTGTGATTAATTGCATGCAGGCGTGTGCAGAGGGCTCCAAACGTTGCATTATTATGTGGCTGTCATATTTCATACAGATGGATCTGCCTGACGATGAGCCGGATCGATTAAGTAACAGAATGTTTCGGTATGACCCGGGCCAAGACAAATGGACAGAGCGCGCACCAATGAAGTACTCCAAATACCGCTTCAGCGCAGCTGTAGTCAACAGTGAGATTTATGTCTTGGGTAAGAGGAAACAGATTTTTAACCGATAGCACAATGACTTTTTCTTTTTTCCAGCAATTTGCTTCAGTGAAGTGAAATATCTCACCCTTTGCTATGTATTGTAGGACAAAGTACGTTGGACTAAACGAATAGTATTTTTCTGGAGCTATTTTTTTCCCCACATAATTTCTTCCTTCCCTAATTCATGTAGATTATATTAGTGCAAGTTTAGTGCTCTGGATGAATGTAACAAAGATACTTTGCTTTTTAAGCCACTTTTCTCTGGAGTACCAGTGTGCTCTATAACGAATAATGAATTCAAAAAGATGGGTAGAGAAGCCTTGTTAGCATCATTTTACAGATGAGCAATGGGAGGCTGAAGCAACATGCCCAGCATCATAAAGGAATGGCACAGAGAAAAAGAGAATTTGGATGTCCCAGTCAAAACCAAAATTATTTGTGTATTCTGATAAAATTTAACAAATCATTCTCTTCTACCCACCTCAATGCAGATATATTTTTTTGGAAAGTCTAAATCTTTCCTTTTGTCATTTTTAAAATGACAGAAATAATGACAGAATTAACATTTGCACCAACTCTGTTCCCAAAGACCATTCCAACTTCTGTCCAAGCCAACAGAAAGAGCATCACTTGTTTCAGAATAGTAGCAAATATCTCAGAAAACCAAGAAAAGCATGGGATTTTTATAAAGTGAAAATGATTATGTAAGGCAGGAAAGGGCGAATGGAGAAGAAAGGCTTTGCAAGCGTTGGGAATTATATAGGGAAAACATTTAAAGAGGCATCCTGGAAGAATAGGAACCAAAAAGGTAACTAAGAGAATAAGAGAGTTATAGCTAGGAGCATGACTGGAAGGTGCTTGAAGAAGTGGGAGAGAAGTTTGTATGGCCAGTTAATCCACAGGTGGGCTGTCGGTCACTCAAACTTTTCCATGCTCCAGGGTCCTGAGGGCAGCATAGGGCATGAAGAAGGTAGCAATTACATCAGTACCTTTTAATCCCTGCTGCTTCAAATTACTCCTGCTTTCAAGCTTATTAAAGTGAACAAAATCAATATGGTCTTACCACATTAATACACTTCTTGTAGTAGGGGTCTTTTTGTTTTGTCTGGATTGTTATTTACCACCAATAATGGAGAGTGGGTTCCTGACATGTAACACTGCAGGAATTTTGCAGAAGGCTTCCTGGAGAGATGTATCTAAGAAAGGTGTCTCTGGAGTAGTAGAAGGAGAAAACGGCTTTAACCTCACATTTGTCTTCTTTTAGAGACACTTCTTTCTCTAAAGTGGCTGGAGCCAGACCCATAGGCACAACCAGGGGAACAGGTGAAAGAGGCACACACGCAAAAGAAAGTTTCACAAACAGAAAATCAATATTGCCAATGGTTACTAACAGGTGAACTTCAGTATGCTGTTAAACAAAGCAAGTGTTGGCTATTTAGATTCAAAGGTGCTTTGAAAATGTGGAGTTTTAATCCTCTTGAAAAGGTTAAATATATATCTATTTATTTATACTGATAATGATGCTGTAATGGGGAAGCTGAACCAGCAGAAGCAGTTGGGAAGAGAAAGGGTCTGTTCATGCGTTTCAGTAACAAGCATTCTGAGATCAAGACCAAGAATTCTGTGTTGACACAAGAGAGTCAGGGAGAAAAAAAAGGAGCTGTCTTGGGATGCATGTGATAAAACAGACTGACAGTCTCCTTCACAGTAATCCTGATACTGAAACATGGAAAAGCAGTGGCTAATAAGGAAAACCGCATCCATTTTCTTCCTTCAAAATCTCACAAAGCAAGAGGCATACCTAATGAATATAAGAGTGAAGTGTACAGATTGTATACAAAGCATAGTTTTAGTCTGAAAAGTGATTGTTAAAATGGCATTAAGGACTTCCAAGTTTATAATCCCTTACTCCCCTCATGAGTTTCGCTAACATAAAAAATAAAAAGCATCCTTTTACTATGTATAGCTGCCAGTGCTGCTCTTTTCAGGAAGCTGAATATTGACTTGAATTCTTTCTTACATGCCAGTCAGTACCAATAACAATTTTTTGGTGGGAAGATCTTTGTTAATAACTTTATTGGCGGGTAGGCCGGAGCAGAATCTAATTCTGTTTCCTATCACCCTGTTGGTTCGCACACCTTTCCATGAGCAATCCTTATTCGAATTTTGTGATTAACAGTCTGCTGCACTGGACCCTTTACTCCTGTCACTAAATGTGACTAAGCATATGCAAGAGCAGTATCTGATCTCAGCTATAACAGTGTAAATTTGGGGTAATTCTACTGTAATGAATAGACTTGCTTGTAATTTATACCAAAGATAACTAAGCTCACAAGCTGCTCAAGGGAGCAGATTTTTGAGAAAGACTGTGCTATTTTTATGATGGCATTTCTGAATATGCCTCTGTTCTAATGCTATGTCCACTGCAAGGTGTAGCTGCAGCATATGTAGACATGACTGAGTTAACTTCAAATAGCATGAATATCAACTGTGGGGAAGACATTTTACATACGCTACAACACTGGGCTGTTTTCACAAACTCCTGATTGTCTATTTTTACAAAACTTGTGAGGATTTTAATATCCATAAACCTGTAAAATTTGGTTTAAAGTGGATAATAGACTCAAAAGCTGTTAGAGGATAGACAAAATAATGCAAACACAGATACAGACCACATGTGTACCAAGTGTAATTGTGCAAGTCTTGTTTCCTTAGGGAATCAAATAAAATTAGAGCTAATTTTTTAATCAAAAACCAAACCTGATACAGAGCCAGAAGCGATTTGTCAACAAATTCTACCTTTGAATATGCGGTTCTAAATCCACCCTTAACTGTATGGGAGGAACAGAAGATTTAAATATTAAAATTGAGAAGACAACTTGGCTGGTAAATTTTAACCAGCATGGACGGAAAATTCTGTAGAGGAGACCCTAAAGCACTTTCAAATACCTCTCATAACGACGAAGCAATTTTCAAAAGAATTCTGTTTGGAAATAGCTTTATAGTCACTGATACTGGTATCTTATTCTTCTGGTATCACACACGGTCTCATCTCCAGCTGTAAACTCACACATGCCACATGTAATTAAAAATCTTACATGGAAAAGATACGTTCCATGCTTTATTCATGGTGACAAGTTCTTGTTACCTTGTGAATTCTCAGACTGTTGAGTTGCAAAATGGGTACAGTTTTCCTTTGGAAACAACTGTGACGGTATTCCAGGCTAGGTGGACAGACAGTTCATGACATTGAAAGGAACACATTGAAAGCGCTCTTAATCTGGCTGATGTACTACTTCATCATGCAGATGACATTCATGAGAGAATGAGAATGGAAAGAACTGAAGTTGATATTGACAGACCAAAGAATAGCAACTGTCATGAGAATAGTATAACCACTGCAGACTGTTCAAAGCTATGGATCCTTGGGACTTTACACTGTTTCACAGGGAGTGTCGAGCACTGTGGGAGTCTAGAAAGATGCTGTCAAGGCCGATTTGTTCAAAAAGACACATTCTGAAGAGGATCAAAGCTCGTAGGTTGTCCTCACATAGTGATCTTAGAGGTGTCTACACTCAGGCAAAATGGCTACACTTTTTTGCTATAGATGAGAGAGAGACTTTTAAGGACTTTCTACCATTGCCCTTTATGCCCCCTCTCACTCCAAACGGGTTTTCCATATAGATGGGCTGCGTGTATTTAGAACTTGAATATATACCAGGCTTCCATACAGTCTCAGTCATGGGATAGTGAGTGAAGTGGCAATTCAGAAGCATGGCAATGCTTGGATGCCCACAAGAATCACACTCTTTTCAGATCATGCTTGCTCCTTGTGTAGAACAACATCTCCATGGGTTTCCTGTAGTCTACACTGATCTAAGAAGGTCCACTGGGAGTTTCTGGGGGCAGATGAAGGAGAGGAAGGGAGGAAGGATGGAAGCAGGGAAATGAAGGACATCATCTGCATTCCACAAGGACCAAATCCTGCTTCCCAGAAGTAAAAAAATAAGTACATAGCTCTAGCTGAGTACATAAAGTAGCACTGCAGAGAGACAGTACTTCTTTCGAACAACTCCTGAAAACTCACACGTATCTTTAAAAAAAGTAAGTTTGTCAGCTCTTTCTGGTACTTTCTCTGCATACAGTTTGTACAGTTCTCAGCACATGCCGGATTAGGCAGGACTCCAGAGCACAAATGAAAAATCACTACACTAACCACTGATCCTCTCCTCTTGGTCTCTAACATGTGAATCTAAGTTCTGTCACAAATATGAAGCAAAAAGCCTACGTGGATCACTAGCTTTGAATAAGATACCATAGCAGATTCTTTGATATACAAATCTAATTTTTACTCTCATCCATATAGGTGTAAATGTGCTGCAAGTCTGTTAATTTCAATTGTGTTGTGCCAGACTCATTTTGTTCTAAGCCAGGTCAGAATCTGACACTTAGCCTTTGAAGTGTGAATTTTTGAAGAGTCCTGTTGGCGCAGAACATAGAGTACATAGTCACTGTCCAAAAACCCTTCCCAGTCTAATTGCCACCTCCAGCCTGTAAAACTCTAATGACCTAAATGGAATTATTCTAGAGACTCACTGATGGAAGGAAAATGAGAAATAGATTAGAGTTTTTTGTCTGACTAATAGCATTGTTCAGGAACCTGTACCACATGGGTCTTTAATCAGCAATCCTGCAATATAATTGTCTGTTTGTTGTGTAATGTTCCTAGAAAACCTTTTGCTATTTATACGGTGTACATAATCCTCCTAAGTAAACGAATAGTATTTCCTGAGGCTCAAAATCCTTTCTCCTATTCATCCCATTTGACTGGTCTTAGCTCTTTCTCTCCATATTTTCCCAGGGACATAACTATATTTGTTAGAAAGCCCAAGAAAGAGCAGTATTGTGTTCTTAATGACAGAGGCAATTGAGATAGTTTTGGAAGAAAACCAGATGGGAGGGCTCTATTTAAGGTCATGCATTTTAATCTCTTCCTTATA